TCAGGGTTTTCTGTAAAAGGTTGCCACTTTTACAACTTCCACATTGATCAAAATGAAATGATCCCCATGAAGCTGTTTTACTTTTATTCCTTATTTTTTGCTTTTAAGGATAAAATTGCATTGAAATGAATATTTTTCATTCAAAACGTTATCCAAAATAAGAAAAACTCAAATATATGACACTTTTTATAACAATTTTACTAATCTCATGTAGAAAGCATTTTGGTCAGTAGCTGTTATCACTGAGTGCCATTAACTGAGTACATCATCATCTTGGGTCTTGATGTAATAACACAATCATTAATCAAAAAATAATTGATATCCAAACAAAAACATCTGAGATGTAAAAATTTCACTAAATAAAAAATTATGACAATTTAGATGACAGTCAAATTTTTTATTAGGAGTTTTTCTTTGATAATAATAAACTTACCATTTCAAAGCAGTAACCACAAGATTTTTACTTAAATTAATGTTTTTTACATTTTGCTTTGAAATGCCAAGCTTATATTTATCAGAGAGAAACACTCATTCAAAAGATGCATTATGCAAATAATGCATCTTTTGAATTATCTCATCATTATGCAAATAATGTTTGATTCTATGCAGCAAAAAAACTCTTAAGAAAAAAATTTGATTGTCATCTAAATTATCATAAGTTTTTACGATAATTTTTAGTGAAATTCTTTACAACTCAGATATTTTTGTTTGGATTATTAAATTCCTTTAAGTAAAATTATTAGCTTTCACAAGTAATTCCATTTCTTGCTTGAAATGCTTTTAAAGTTTTACAGAGTATAGCTATTTTAACTGAAAAAAGAAAATTTAATTGAAGTTTGGTTTATTATTTTTCTAAGTTATATTACCTGAATAGGTTATGATCTATAGAAATAATTTCACAAAGCTAAATGTAAACTGGAATTTTATGCTTTTTTTTTTTTATTGAATATTTGATATTGCTACTGAAGAAAGAAACAAAATAAATCTAAGTGTATAAATCAAATGTCTCTTCAGAAAAATAAAACATTTATCAGGTTGTAAAAGTTAAATTTAGACATCTTGAAAAGACACTTTTTTGACAATTAACTAAATAATGATTATAGTTCAGTTTTGTAGGTAATCACCACAATATCAATCATATCTTACCACTTTTGCTGCAAATTTTCAATCCTATGAGCATAGAATGACTAACTTTTTCTTTGAAGAAAGTTTTGAGCATCAAGAATTGTCATTGAACTGTATATTGGTGATAAGGTTCTGCAGGGTATGAAATACATGATAGTCAGTTGGTGCCAAGTCTGGACTGTAAGGTGGATGAGGCAGAACCTGCCAGCCCAGACTGGCTAGCTTCTCTATGGTCATTTTTGCTCTGTATGCTGGCTCATTGTTGTGGTATTATACTTTGTTAGTTTTTGGATGAAGTTCTTTCAACTTGATGTTCAAACAATCTAGTTGTTCACAGTAGAGTTCTTTTGTGACAATAATGTTGGTTGGAAACATCATGATGAAGCCATGTATGGTACTGTACATCCCACCAAACACAGATCTTTATCATCTGCATTATTATCCCTTTGACATTTGCAACAGCTGGTTAATCTTTGTTGATTCAGATAAGTGAACTTTACTTTCTTCAGAATTACTAAAATAGTCAATATCATTAATATCCATTAACAATTTATAAAATTATAACTTCTCATAAACTCTAATTTTTGTTTGAAAGAAAAACTATCAAAAACAAGTCAGATGCTTTCAGATTCCAAAAAGATCATTCAATGTCAAGTGATCAAGGTTTCCAGTGATTAAACAGCCAACTTTGTCGTTTAATGGTTCCTTGACTAATAAAAGAACTGTTGGAGTGTCTTTTAATAAATATTAATAAAATTTAGTTAGTAATTATGTTAATAGTATATAAAATCTATATTAAGTTTGTAATATTTACTAAAACTATTAATCAGGGTTAATAGCAATCAAATGTTGTACTATTTTATAATCTATTTAACACAAATATACAAATTTTTAGTAGTGAAAGGGTTGTGGAAGAAGACGACAATATTACATTTACAGAATAGAGTAAGGAATAAACTCAAATGTTATATGACAGATTAGATATATATACTACTTTTATAAAATATAAAATAAAAGTAATGATATATAAAGAAAATAATTGGAATGTAATAAGTAATTACATTTTATTATATGTATTTAACAGAAAATAATTACATTCACAAATTATTAGATGGACAACTATTTATATGATATTTTTCAACAAAACAAAATAAACGAAGAACTTCTTGATGTCATGCACATTTAACAAATAAAACATTTTGGCAATTATTCTTAACACAGTGTACACTGTCAGTGTTTAAACAAGAAAAACAAACTTGTTTTACATTTAAAAATTCACATTTTTCATGTGTGAGTTCAGAAGCAAACCATGCATATTTAATCAAATTATTAAATATTGATAATTGATGAAGAAGAATTGAATGTAATTTAATTATTCCATTTCTAGTTGTCCAAAACAGTTTCATCGAAAAATCATTACAAAATAATTGTATAGCGTTTAAAATTTCTTTGTTTTACTTGCCTATGAAATCCAACATCTTGGCTAAAAGTTTTACTTGCCTATGAAATCCAACATCTAAAGCAAGCATGGTCAACACACGGCCCGCGGGCCAGATTCAGCCCATCTAATGAATTTATGTGGCCTGCGATCAATCTTTCAATATTAGCTACTTAAGTCCAAATAGCTCGATGAAACATTTTGATGCCTAAAAAAAAAGAAAAATGGCCAACAACTTGCTGTGCATTTAGAGTTAACCCTCCATTACAAATCTCATAAGTACAGTGTAGAATGTTGATAAAGCATGATAATGTGAAAAATGTATCTGTAATCTCTATCTACAATTCAGTCTCTACGGGGTGACATCACAATGAGATCTTGCACCACCTCAAAATCTTCCTAGGGTAGCATCAGGTTTGGGCCCTTTCTTTCCAATTCGGCCTGGCAAAAACTGTTGGCCACCCTGATCTAAAGGTTGACATATAGATGTACTGGTACACTTTGGTGGAATAATTGGTACACATGAATTTTGATTTATAGATGTTTGAAATACTGTTTTATAAACATTAATATTTGTTTTTCTACTCCACAAGTCAATTATTAACAATGAGTTTTCTGTTATATTTGGAGATATTACAAACTATGTAAAAAGTGTATTAACTGCTGTAGATAATTTGCCAGATGAGCTGGATGTAACAGTAACATTTGGGGCATTAAATGGTGATCTTTGAACTCTAGGTCCAAAGGTTCCATGATCTTCTTGTAAGCAAATAAATACATTACCTACAACTTGTCTGTTAGCATTAATTAAATATTGAACAGTGTAGAAATGCATAACTTTATTATTTGGAGAATGTGCAAATCCAACAGTATTTTTTTCTCTTTTATATGAAAGTGTTCTTGATGAAATCATTTCGTATGAAAAACCACACTGATCCATATTGAATATAAAGTTGTGTGAATAAGATGGCAATAAATGTTTTACTGTTTGTTGAAATTGCACAGCTTTTATTAAAATATTCTTTTCGTTTACTATTTCTGTTTTATTTACGAGTTTTGTAATTTTTTGAGATACTAATCTATATTCTTTTTTAAATTTAGCAACCTAAGAATCACTAGCTGGAAACTTAATTGAACTACAGTATTCAGCTGAAGAAATTTCTGTAATGCCCATATTTTTAAATGATTACTTTTAACAATTTTATAGCTGCCTCAAGTTTCATCAGACATTTCTTTGGCATGTTCTTTAATGATTTTTAATGTTTCAATTCTGTTTTCAAGATTTAAATTGTTTTTCCATTTATATAAATCACTAAAATGCTTTAATTCTTTAGTTCCTTTCTGCTGTAGGCTAATATGTGTAATTTCCATTTTAAATGCTTCTTATGTAGTTAAGAATTTCTTTTTGTTTTGTTGAGATTATATTTTTATCAGCTTTTTCATCATCATTTGAATACAGTCGATAACACTGCTGATTATTCCATTTTATATGAACTCTATGTTGTATGAGTCACTTATATTTTACAAATGTGTGTGCCAGGCTGTGAACGGCTCATGTATTTGTAAAATCTAAGTGACTCGTACAACATGGAATTCATATAAAACAGAATAATCAGCAGTGCTATAGGGGGGTTGACTGTACAGTCGACCCCCCTATAATTACGATTCCTATAAAACTACGAAAAAATATACGTATTTTGGAAATGTTGAGTCAGATTAGTGTAGAATCGATTAATTTTATGGAAGAAAACCTTTCAATCAGCCGTAGTCCGTAAACTTGACACGTGTCGGGCTGTGATTGGAACGACTTGTAAGAAATCGGATTCCTAATAAATTGGAACGTATCTATATCTTATAGGGGGGTCGACTGTATTCTGTTTCACAGTCAGTGTCTGCATTATCAACTTCTTTTTCTTGAAGCTGACAAGTGTTTTTTTTTTTTTTTGATCTGAAATATTTTTAATCAAATTATTTTCTTCCATCTGACAAAACGCTTCATCATCTCTACTTACATAATTACTTAAAATATCGCTAAATGCATTAGAAATCATTTTAGCTATCTGTTTATCAATGCCCAAAATAAAAAGCCTACAAATCTCTTCTGTAGGCCAGACATTATCATATAAACGTTTAGATTCTGCTTTAATATTTTGAATATTTACATTTAAGTCTTTTACCATTATCAAAAATTCAAGAATTTATTCTAAATGTAATATCGTCATCTTCCTCTACAACCCTTTCACTACTAAAAATTTGCATATTTGTGTTAAACTAATATAAAATATGACATTTGATTGTTATAACCATGATTAATAGTTTTAGTGAATATTACAAATTTAATATAGAGTTTGTATACTTTTAACATAGTTATTAACTAAATTTTATTAATATTTATTAAAAGACACTCCAATAGTTCCCTTGTAAGAGCAATTACAGCATGAAACTTGGTAGCATAAGACAATTTCAAGTAGACAATTCAGATATGCTAACAAAAGTTTTAACAAAATGTGCATTCTTCAGTTTGAGTAAAATTCATTCTCATGAAACCAAAGCCACATTTCAATTGCCTGTAGCTCTGGAAGAAAATGTTCTTTTAAAACTAAAAGAAGGTAATTTTGAGCTTATAGCTGTCATAGTTTTAGAAATACACCCACTGAAAAATTCAAAAAATATTTTGAGACTCAATTTTTACCAACATTCTGAAGCAAATATCACCACATGAGGTATCTTAAATTTTTTCTCTTTTGCTGTGTTAGAAAGAGCATCTATCAATCTATCAAAATACATGGTTTTAATTTTCTGCCTGATTCACATTTTTGCCCTTAATGTTCTGTTAAGGGCAAAAATGTGGCATTAAATATAGTGATGTCTGAAGAAAAACTTGATTGCATAAAACAAAAGCCATGCTTTGATAACTAATAACGTTAGAACTATACAAGACTATGGAATGCAACTTAGTCTGTTAGCACACTATCTGATTGTCATTCTGTAATTCAATTAAGATATTTTGAATATGCATGCTTACTGAGCTATGTTCATCCAATATTAAGCAAACAAAAATTTGCAAGGATTTTGATTAATTTCTAAAAAGTTTGACTTTTAGTGTAACCGTGTTTTGTTTTATTTTAGGCTATTAGAAACAGCTTCTTTTATCATATTTAGCTTAATGCTTGTAATGGAGTAATAATGGAAGAATGCAGCATTTAAAGTACTTATGATTTATATCCTCACAATGGTTTGGAGCTTGTTGTACTGTACGGATTTGCGTGCCTCCATGAGTTTGAGAGCTGTGCCATTAATAGTTGTACTAAGAGATACCTGTAGTGGAAAGGTCTTAAGGAGATATTGGATTTATTGTGAGAATTTTTACTGATGATCAAACACAGCTGAGGGACAATCTATCAGACTTAAGCCCTAGTCAGTACATAGCTTGCTTGAGTGAGTTGGTAACATTGTGGAAATTTTAATTAAAGAAAGAGATGCATTTGATAATTTTTTTCATCCACATGGCCCATGTAGATTATTTTACTGGTCTGTATAAAATTTTCTTTTAAGACTAGCAGAGGAGTTTATCATTACCATGAGCATCAACAAGTATGCGTAAGAAATGTGAAGACCCCTTAGTCTATTGGATATGCTAGTATACTTACTGTAACAAGTGAAAAATAAGGTGACAATATCGTGATGAAAATATTAAATTACATTGACTTGCAGCCCACAAATAACTTTCTTAAACTAATTTCTCTCTTTGTGTTCTTTAGTCTTCACTAACATTGCATGTAGTTGTTTTTAGTTTTATTTTATATGGTATAGTAATTATGTTAAGGTCTTCTGTTTATTTGTCATTTAGTTAGTTTGTACTATATATTGTTCTTAGTATTTTAAACTTATTTGTATTTAAAATATGCATCTGATTTATATTCCTGTTTCTATGGAGACAACAAACATCAATAAATTGTTAGACCAATTCTCTCTGATGGAATCAGTTGTTAAAACTCTAGTCTGTGACAAGTCTCACTCCTGCAGTTTTACATTTTATTCTATGGAGCTGGACATCTTAGATTTGTCAACAATTGATGTGGAAAGTATATTTAATGAAAAAAATTATCATTTCCAGTGCTAAGGGGCATACACTGTTTCTATTGTAAAATGGCTTTGTGACAAAGATAATTGTTGATGAAATTTGACATGGTTGATGAAATTTTACATTTAATAAATTATTAGCCCCAGGTCAGAAATACATTGTTATTGTTATATATATATAAATCACTAAAAGTTGACATATATTGTGTATGTGTATTTTTTTCTTTTTTACTTTATAAACTAGTTTTTATTTTTCTTATAGTGAGAATGTCTTATATGCTGCAGCATCTTCACAATGGATGGCAGGTTGATCAAGCTATCCTCTCTGAAGAAGATCGTGTAGTTGTTATTAGATTTGGTCATGACTGGGATCCTACCTGCATGAAAATGGATGAAGTATTGTATAATATTGCAGAAAAAGTAAAAAATTTTGCTGTTATTTATTTAGTTGACATCACTGAGGTACCAGATTTTAACAAGATGTATGAACTTTATGATCCATGCACAGTAATGTTTTTCTTCAGAAACAAGCACATCATGATAGATTTGGGTACTGGAAATAATAATAAAATCAATTGGGCTTTGGAAGATAAACAAGAAATGGTAGATATTATAGAAACTGTGTATCGTGGTGCAAGAAAAGGAAGAGGGTTAGTGGTTTCTCCAAAAGATTATTCTACAAAGTATAGATATTAAAGTTATTTACTTTGAATTGTACAAATATAATAAAGAATAATTTTTGTATATTCTTAAGATAATTTTGAATTTACAAGTTCATTTATAAATACATTTTTAATATAGTTGTTACATGTGTTTTTTTACTCAATACTTGAACAATAAGAATAAAATAATGAAATGTTTAACATGCTAGTTGGTAGATTAAAATTTTCTAATTTACTTAAAATACTTTTTTTTTAATCCATTCATTTTTTTTAGTAAGGTGAGCATTTTTCCAAGAAATCCTAAAATAAAATTTCAAATGTAAAAATTTTAAATTATTATATGAATAAAAAATTTTATTACATACCTTGTCATATTTAGATCCAACATACTTTTTGAGATGTATAAGATATTCAACAGTAAATTCAAAAACAGTTGCTTTATCTGTTTTGTTACTCAAACCTGGTACTAAGTTACGCAATGTTTGACAGGCATTTTTAATACGATTTCTAATTGAAAAGGGTAATGTAAATGACATGTAATTAGAAAAATATCTTATTATACATACCTTCGCTTCCTTTCTTTTTCATTATGATTTTCTCGACCACTGAATTGAAGATATTGTTCATTATCCAATAATCTAATAACTTGGTTAATATGTAAATTAGGTGCAGATATTCTAGTCACTTCACAATTCACTGGTGTATTTTGAGGTGCTCTAAAGTCAAATAATAGATTATTCAAACAGAAAGTAATTAAATTATGAAATTTTTGATACCTTGGATAGTCTGGTGAAATATTTTCAATTTCTTCTCCACTACTGTTCAGAGGTATTGATGTGCCAGATACTGGAGTAGAAATAAATCCACTGGGAGAACTTACAGATGTATAACACTTGGGATTCATCTAATAAATTGCATAAATGTTTAAAACTATTAAAATGTTCTAATTTTAATTAATTGAATACCTTACTTGACTGTGTTGAGACCAAGTAGTAGTATTAGTTAACAGACTCATAGAAATATTTCTTGAGTGATTAGCTAGATTTGGTGAATTTCCTAGAGTAACTTTAGATCTAGATACTTCCTCATAATGTGATATTGGAACTTGTTTTAATGAATCAGATAAAATTGGAGTTGAGCATTGCTTTGGTAAAACACATCCTGAACACTAATACAGAAAAAAATTCTTTTAATTAATAATAATTATTATTATTTCATTAATTTAATCATTTTGATAAAAATATTACTCTTTGCCCAAACTGTATCTGGCATAATGGATTGAGACTAGTAAGAGTTGCATTTATGGCATTTTCAGTAGAGTATAATTGATCCTGTACTGTTGTAGAAATGCATGTGTTATAACATCCTTCAGAATCTTGATTGGTAGTGATATTAATTGGTGAGAGTCTTGTAAATGATACAATCAATTCTGAATTACTGCTTGATTCTGTAGGTTCCAACTATTTTAAAAAAAAGATAAAAAATTAAAAATGTCATACTGTAATTCAATAATAATTATAAATATATGCATTAATTTTACAGTTGATGAGATTTCTTTATCCAAAATGTTTTAAAAAAATTTATTTAGAATCTTTTTAAAGATATAGATATTTGATATCTAAAATAGATGCTTTAATCATATAAATAAAATATAAGCAAAACTTTTACCAAGTTACTCAGCAGTGAGAGACTACAATCTTATATCACCTAAGGTTAACTGAGAGAAATTTCTTTAAAGTAAATTTAAAAAATTGTTCAAAAAATAGAATATTCAGTTTCATATTTTTGAGCTTCAATTTGAAAAAATTGTAATCTGTCCATCTGTTTTTCCTTAATCTTGAGAATGGAGTTAGGTAGATGAAAGATGACACCAGATATGGAAACCCAAGGAGCAGGAGGCCCCAATTAACTATACAAGAACTTCCGAGGCAAACTGGAAGTCATGTTATTTCAATTCAAAAATTTTCCCCTGAAAGATGTTAGATAGGTGACTGGCACAACTCTATTATTAAAGGGAAAGTATGAAGTACAGAGGCAAGCCACTACTAATTTGAGATGGAGAGCATATATTTTAAATAAATTAAAATTATGATTAAAAATTGTAGCCTGGCATTTTGACAATGCCACAATAATTACATTTAAATTATTCTAAATAAATTTACAAATTTAATTCATACATATTTTAAATTTGTATTTATACAGTACTTTCTTTCTTTCTTTCTTATCTTATTAATGTGGAGACTCTAGCCTGTTGGCTTTTTCTCCGAATCACTCCGCTTAGAAAGTAGGTAAAGCGGTTGGTGCGGTGAACAAAACGCTCCAAGATTTTGATATGTTGGCGAGGAGGAAGGTCGGTATGAGGCCAATATATCGGAGTTAAGGTTTGGACGATCGTGAGGTCCAAGGTTAAGAGACGGCCTAGCTCTTGGCGGGCCTGTGTATATTGCGGACAGACAAGCCAATAGTGGACAGAAGTTTCTGGTGAGCCACAGTGGGGGCAATCTGGCGAGGCACGTTGGCGTCGAGAATAGAGGAAATTGTTCAAGGGGGCCGTATTGGTTCGAAGTCTAGCCAATAGGGTTTCTGTGAGGTGAGATGAGGCGTGATGGTATATCCAAGGTACGAAAGGTCAGAGATGGTCATGATTTTTTCCCTGAAGAATGGTAGACCAGGTATCGGTGTAGTTGCAGATGATTGGTTCCCGCATCTGTCGTATGAGGTCACGTGCCATGAGAGGTCTCCACCAGGAGCCGATGGGGGTGTCATGGCTAGTGGCTTGGTCTGCCTCTTCATTTATGTGGATGCCAACATGACCAGGGGTCCACTCGATTTCAAGGGGTGTTGGGTGAGAACTGATAGTTGCAGCTAGGTCAATAATAACCGCTGGAGAGGAAAAATTTACGTTGGCGACTGCCTGGAGAACTGATTTGCCATCTGAGACAATGACCGTCGGAGTGTTAAGACGGGCGCTGAGATTAACTGCCCGTTGGATGCTGAGAGCCTCCGCACCGAAGACACTGCAACTCGTGTGTAGTGACTAAGTTTCCTTGACCGTTTGAGCCGGAAGAACCATTCCGAAGGCCATCCGTAGGTGTGATTTTGAGGCATCTGCCCCAATGAGAGTCCAACCCCGCCAGTTGGTAGAATGTAGATCATTAAAAAGAGCATTCAAGGCTGCTGGAGGTTGGCTGGAAGCATTTGGAAAGTCGTCAAGGCGAATTCCAGGTTGGATGTTTACGGGGCTCGGGGGTACGTGTTTTTGCCCGTAGAGGTGAGATGGATAGAACTTTTTGACGAATCAGGGAGAGAACCCTATAGGCATATGGGACCTGGAAGGGGCACGGGCAGTTGTCTAGACTGGAGGCTGTGCTGAAAATTTTGTAGAGAGGGCTATAGTGGCCTTTTGAGAGGTAGGTGATAGCATGTGATATAGCCTTCTGACGCAGCCTAGACTGGAATGGAATATAGCCGGACTTGGCATATAAAGATAAGAGCAGAGTAGACTTGGGCACGCCCAAGGCTGTGCGAAGGGCTTTGTGAATGGGTTTTTCGATGCAACGGATAGTGGTTGGGGGGTCCCTTCCAGGAGAGGAGCGCCAAATTCCGTCATCGGGCTAAGGATGGTGTAGATTAAGCGGAGGAGGTTGGCTCTCCTGGCACCATTACTACGAGAAGCAAAAAATTTGAGGAGGAAACCGGCTCAAGTCACTTTGGTTCTTAAGAAAGTCTCGTGGGCATGCTAAGTGAAGTTATACAAAAAATGAAGTCCAAGGATGCGGAGAGAAGGGCGCTGAGGGATATTACCTCAGTTAAGAGACAAATTAAGTGGAGTTTGGGAAAAAAATCGACGGAAACACTTTTAGTGGCGGAAAAGGATAAACTCCATGTGGCTGCCCAATGTTCTAGGTGGTCCAGGGCTAATTGAGCTATGCGAGCTGCTTGAGAAGGTCTAGTACTCAAGGTGAGAATGTATAAATCGTCCACGTAAAGGACGGCGGTGACATTGGGGGGAAGAGCAGTCCAAAGGTCCGCCATGTATAATGTAAATAGAATGGGGACAAGAACGCTTCCCTGGGGGACGCCTTGGATAAAGGCGTGAGGAGGTGACAGCACTCCGCGCCAACGGACGCGAAAAGAATGATGTAATAGGAATGATTTAAGCCAGGACAAGAGTCTCCCTCCCATACCGAGAAATTCTAATTTAGCTAGGAGTCCTTGGTGCACAGAGTCATATGCCCCTTCTAGGTCGAGTGCGACTAGGTACACCCAGTGCTTTCTTGCTCGAGCCACGGCTATATGATGGTGTAACCTAATAAGGGCCTCTTCTACCCCTCGGTAGGGGAGAAAGCCAAAGTGGTGTTGATGGAAGATATCTGAATGAAAGGTCCATTTATGGATTCGATACAGGATTAGCTGTTCGAATAGTTTTGCGACGTGAGAGGTAAGAGAGATCGGCCTATAAGAGGCGCATATTGTCGCTGGGCGACCTGGTTTAATGATTGGAACAACAGTAGAAGAGGTCCAGTCTGGGGGGGCAAGACCCTGAGGCCCAGAGATCGTTTGAGATTGAGGAGGGCCGAGAGGCCCACAATTGGGAGTGTCCGTAAGGCGTGTGCGCTTACGCCATCTGGGCCTGGTGTAGTGTTCCGAAGACGGTGTATGGCCCAGTGGAGTTCAAGTAGATNATTAAGTCGTATACCGAACAAAAGTCGTATACCGAGCAAAATTTGTTTCGTCCAAACAGGACGTATTCCGAATTTGACGTATTCTAAAGCAGACGTATACCGAGGTACCACTGTATTATAATATAAAAATATCAAGTTGAATTTGTCAGAAACAACCAAGTAGCACCTAAATAGGGGCCAGTTTCCTGTAAAAGACCTCCCGGGAGACATTCCGCCTCGGCAGATCGCCCATGTATCGCGTTGCCGTAATCAAATAAACCAGCCGTGCTGTACAAAGGTATACCTGTACTTATTTCCATTATAATCACATTGTTATTTTCTTTTCATTTATGTACTGGTAGATAAAAAAGTTGGAGTAAAATTTTTTAGAATTTTTCTATTTTTAATTATTTAAATTAAACATTTCGCCCGCGATATCGATATATACGAGGGCTGTTTTTTTCAAGCTCCGATGGTCCATGAAACAAAGACAAGTGTAAGTAACAAAATAAATTTATTACCAAAAGTTAGGTACAAACATTGTTACTTTTCGACATAATCACTGTGAAGACTGAGGAATTTGTCATATCTGTGGACGAGCTTTTCCATCCCCTTGTCATAGAATGTTGTCGCCAGTGATTGAGATGGCCTTAACAACATTGTTTTGAAGATCATCATTAGTCTCAAGCCTCTGCCCTGCTAGCCATGTTTTCAGTTCAGGGAAGAGATGAAAGTCTTCACCATCTTTAAACACCCAGCCCCGTATAGTCCCGATCGACTTCCACTTCTTTCCTGAACAGAAAAAGTGGCTAGGAGGGCAGAAGTTCTAAACTAATGACGATCTTCAAAAAAACGTTAGGGCTCATTTCAAGTCATTAGCGGCAACATTTTATTCTATGACACGGGGATGGAAAAGCTCGTCTTCAGATATGACAAATGCCTTAATTTTCACAGTGATTATGTCGAAAAGTAACTATGTTTCTACCTAACTTTTGGTAATAAATTCATTTTGTTATTTACACTTGTCTTTTTTTATGGACTATCGGAGCTTGAAATAAAACAGCCTACGTAGTTACTAAATTTAGCTATAGTATCAGTGGACAAGTAGTTTAAAGGCAGGTTACGTTGCACAAAATAGGCTAGAAAATAGCGTACACAATTTAGTTTATACAGTATATATTAGTTTGATTTACTACTATTGTTTTTATCCAGTTGTTTTAAACTTGGAAGTGGATATGAAAATAATTTATTTAATTTTAATGATTTGTTATATTTATAATTATCAGCTATTTCAATAAAAACTTATTCACGTAATTATTTCTACGTAATAANTTACATACCTTGTCATATTTAGATCCAACATACTTTTTGAGATGTATAAGATATTCAACAGTAAATTCAAAAACAGTTGCTTTATCTGTTTTGTTACTCAAACCTGGTACTAAGTTACGCAATGTTTGACAGGCATTTTTAATACGATTTCTAATTGAAAAGGGTAATGTAAATGACATGTAATTAGAAAAATATCTTATTATACATACCTTCGCTTCCTTTCTTTTTCATTATGATTTTCTCGACCACTGAATTGAAGATATTGTTCATTATCCAATAATCTAATAACTTGGTTAATATGTAAATTAGGTGCAGATATTCTAGTCACTTCACAATTCACTGGTGTATTTTGAGGTGCTCTAAAGTCAAATAATAGATTATTCAAACAGAAAGTAATTAAATTATGAAATTTTTGATACCTTGGATAGTCTGGTGAAATATTTTCAATTTCTTCTCCACTACTGTTCAGAGGTATTGATGTGCCAGATACTGGAGTAGAAATAAATCCACTGGGAGAACTTACAGATGTATAACACTTGGGATTCATCTAATAAATTGCATAAATGTTTAAAACTATTAAAATGTTCTAATTTTAATTAATTGAATACCTTACTTGACTGTGTTGAGACCAAGTAGTAGTATTAGTTAACAGACTCATAGAAATATTTCTTGAGTGATTAGCTAGATTTGGTGAATTTCCTAGAGTAACTTTAGATCTAGATACTTCCTCATAATGTGATATTGGAACTTGTTTTAATGAATCAGATAAAATTGGAGTTGAGCATTGCTTTGGTAAAACACATCCTGAACACTAATACAGAAAAAAATTCTTTTAATTAATAATAATTATTATTATTTCATTAATTTAATCATTTTGATAAAAATATTACTCTTTGCCCAAACTGTATCTGGCATAATGGATTGAGACTAGTAAGAGTTGCATTTATGGCATTTTCAGTAGAGTATAATTGATCCTGTACTGTTGTAGAAATGCATGTGTTATAACATCCTTCAGAATCTTGATTGGTAGTGATATTAATTGGTGAGAGTCTTGTAAATGATACAATCAATTCTGAATTACTGCTTGATTCTGTAGGTTCCAACTATTTTAAAAAAAAGATAAAAAATTAAAAATGTCATACTGTAATTCAATAATAATTATAAATATATGCATTAATTTTACAGTTGATGAGATTTCTTTATCCAAAATGTTTTAAAAAAATTTATTTAGAATCTTTTTAAAGATATAGATATTTGATATCTAAAATAGATGCTTTAATCATATAAATAAAATATAAGCAAAACTTTTACCAAGTTACTCAGCAGTGAGAGACTACAATCTTATATCACCTAAGGTTAACTGAGAGAAATTTCTTTAAAGTAAATTTAAAAAATTGTTCAAAAAATAGAATATTCAGTTTCATATTTTTGAGCTTCAATTTGAAAAAATTGTAATCTGTCCATCTGTTTTTCCTTAATCTTGAGAATGGAGTTAGGTAGATGAAAGATGACACCAGATATGGAAACCCAAGGAGCAGGAGGCCCCAATTAACTATACAAGAACTTCCGAGGCAAACTGGAAGTCATGTTATTTCAATTCAAAAATTTTCCCCTGAAAGATGTTAGATAGGTGACTGGCACAACTCTATTATTAAAGGGAAAGTATGAAGTACAGAGGCAAGCCACTACTAATTTGAGATGGAGAGCATATATTTTAAATAAATTAAAATTATGATTAAAAATTGTAGCCTGGCATTTTGACAATGCCACAATAATTACATTTAAATTATTCTAAATAAATTTACAAATTTAATTCATACATATTTTAAATTTGTATTTATACAGTACTTTCTTTCTTTCTTTCTTATCTTATTAATGTGGAGACTCTAGCCTGTTGGCTTTTTCTCCGAATCACTCCGCTTAGAAAGTAGGTAAAGCGGTTGGTGCGGTGAACAAAACGCTCCAAGATTTTGATATGTTGGCGAGGAGGAAGGTCGGTATGAGGCCAATATATCGGAGTTAAGGTTTGGACGATCGTGAGGTCCAAGGTTAAGAGACGGCCTAGCTCTTGGCGGGCCTGTGTATATTGCGGACAGACAAGCCAATAGTGGACAGAAGTTTCTGGTGAGCCACAGTGGGGGCAATCTGGCGAGGCACGTTGGCGTCGAGAATAGAGGAAATTGTTCAAGGGGGCCGTATTGGTTCGAAGTCTAGCCAATAGGGTTTCTGTGAGGTGAGATGAGGCGTGATGGTATATCCAAGGTACGAAAGGTCAGAGATGGTCATGATTTTTTCCCTGAAGAATGGTAGACCAGGTATCGGTGTAGTTGCAGATGATTGGTTCCCGCATCTGTCGTATGAGGTCACGTGCCATGAGAGGTCTCCACCAGGAGCCGATGGGGGTGTCATGGCTAGTGGCTTGGTCTGCCTCTTCATTTATGTGGATGCCAACATGACCAGGGGTCCACTCGATTTCAAGGGGTGTTGGGTGAGAACTGATAGTTGCAGCTAGGTCAATAATAACCGCTGGAGAGGAAAAATTTACGTTGGCGACTGCCTGGAGAACTGATTTGCCATCTGAGACAATGACCGTCGGAGTGTTAAGACGGGCGCTGAGATTAACTGCCCGTTGGATGCTGAGAGCCTCCGCACCGAAGACACTGCAACTCGTGTGTAGTGACTAAGTTTCCTTGACCGTTTGAGCCGGAAGAACCATTCCGAAGGCCATCCGTAGGTGTGATTTTGAGGCATCTGCCCCAATGAGAGTCCAACCCCGCCAGTTGGTAGAATGTAGATCATTAAAAAGAGCATTCAAGGCTGCTGGAGGTTGGCTGGAAGCATTTGGAAAGTCGTCAAGGCGAATTCCAGGTTGGATGTTTACGGGGCTCGGGGGTACGTGTTTTTGCCCGTAGAGGTGAGATGGATAGAACTTTTTGACGAATCAGGGAGAGAACCCTATAGGCATATGGGACCTGGAAGGGGCACGGGCAGTTGTCTAGACTGGAGGCTGTGCTGAAAATTTTGTAGAGAGGGCTATAGTGGCCTTTTGAGAGGTAGGTGATAGCATGTGATATAGCCTTCTGACGCAGCCTAGACTGGAATGGAATATAGCCGGACTTGGCATATAAAGATAAGAGCAGAGTAGACTTGGGCACGCCCAAGGCTGTGCGAAGGGCTTTGTGAATGGGTTTTTCGATGCAACGGATAGTGGTTGGGGGGTCCCTTCCAGGAGAGGAGCGCCAAATTCCGTCATCGGGCTAAGGATGGTGTAGATTAAGCGGAGGAGGTTGGCTCTCCTGGCACCATTACTACGAGAAGCAAAAAATTTGAGGAGGAAACCGGCTCAAGTCACTTTGGTTCTTAAGAAAGTCTCGTGGGCATGCTAAGTGAAGTTATACAAAAAATGAAGTCCAAGGATGCGGAGAGAAGGGCGCTGAGGGATATTACCTCAGTTAAGAGACAAATTAAGTGGAGTTTGGGAAAAAAATCGACGGAAACACTTTTAGTGGCGGAAAAGGATAAACTCCATGTGGCTGCCCAATGTTCTAGGTGGTCCAGGGCTAATTGAGCTATGCGAGCTGCTTGAGAAGGTCTAGTACTCAAGGTGAGAATGTATAAATCGTCCACGTAAAGGACGGCGGTGACATTGGGGGGAAGAGCAGTCCAAAGGTCCGCCATGTATAATGTAAATAGAATGGGGACAAGAACGCTTCCCTGGGGGACGCCTTGGATAAAGGCGTGAGGAGGTGACAGCACTCCGCGCCAACGGACGCGAAAAGAATGATGTAATAGGAATGATTTAAGCCAGGACAAGAGTCTCCCTCCCATACCGAGAAATTCTAATTTAGCTAGGAGTCCTTGGTGCACAGAGTCATATGCCCCTTCTAGGTCGAGTGCGACTAGGTACACCCAGTGCTTTCTTGCTCGAGCCACGGCTATATGATGGTGTAACCTAATAAGGGCCTCTTCTACCCCTCGGTAGGGGAGAAAGCCAAAGTGGTGTTGATGGAAGATATCTGAATGAAAGGTCCATTTATGGATTCGATACAGGATTAGCTGTTCGAATAGTTTTGCGACGTGAGAGGTAAGAGAGATCGGCCTATAAGAGGCGCATATTGTCGCTGGGCGACCTGGTTTAATGATTGGAACAACAGTAGAAGAGGTCCAGTCTGGGGGGGCAAGACCCTGAGGCCCAGAGATCGTTTGAGATTGAGGAGGGCCGAGAGGCCCACAATTGGGAGTGTCCGTAAGGCGTGTGCGCTTACGCCATCTGGGCCTGGTGTAGTGTTCCGAAGACGGTGTATGGCCCAGTGGAGTTCAAGTAGATGAAACGGGTAATCGTCAAACTTTGGGACCCCTAGCCAGGAATCATCAAGGGGAGCAAAAGTGTGCCTTGGGCGGGTACGCCCAAAGAAGGATGTAAAGGCTTCTGCCTGCTGCATGGGACTGAGTAGGTAGTCTATTGTTTGGATTATATGTTGGGTGGCCATGATCGCCGGCAGTGATCTCAGTCGACGGAAGATGCGATAGAGTGTGGATGGGGAGAGGCATACAAATGACCCCACCACTCCCGACGAGCCTGACGGGTCTTCCGACGAAGTTTCACTCCTAATTGTTTATATTTTTCCCACCAGGAGTGAGACTCCCACTTGCAGGCTAGGCGGAATGCATGATGTTTAAGCGCTCTTAGGCAGCTGTATTGAGGAGTCCACCATGGTGGTTGACCCGAGGATAGTATGGAGCGAATTATTGTATTAGAGGAAACTGTCTCACGGATAGTGTCTACAAAGGCATTATACGAGGTGGGAATCGATTCCTCGGTAGTCCAAAGCTGATCAAGGTTATTTGAATAACGACTCCAGTTTGTTGAAAAGTGTAAACTAGAGGTAGTCGTCGGGTTAGGGGTGCCCGAAATGGATAGAGTGATTGAAATAGGAGCATGGTCACTGGTTAAGGTGTCCACGCAAGGGCTCCATAAGGCAAAACCTAATAAATCCGAGGAGCAGAAGGTCAGGTCTATAGCTGATGATCCGTTTGGATGGAAATAAGTTGGTTCCCGAGTTCCAACAGCATAAGTTTGCGGATAAGAACCAATCGAAGAGGGTGCGGCCCGCGTTTGCACTTGTTATCCCGATAAGGATGATGAGTGTTCCAGTCCCCGCACACTATGCAAGGGTGGTGATTGCCCCACAAAAAGGGTCCAGTGAAACAGCCGAAAGGATGCCATGTGGGGAATATACATTAACAAGGGAGAGAGGAGCCCGTGGAAAGTATACCAAAGTCTCTTGGTATTCAGTGCCAGTGATCTTGGGATCAGGGGGCAGCTGGCGGGTGGGCCACCAGTGAGAGACCGCTGTTAGGAGACCCCTCCCTGAGCAGAGGTGTGATCCTGGCAGAAGAGAGTGAATCCTGGAATGAAAAAGACCACTTCAGGAGTTAGCCACGTCTCTTGTACCAGGATGATGTCCATGGTACGTAGCCAAGATGCCACCAAAAGGAGATCTCGTTTAGAACGAAGACCTCTCGCATTCCAGTGTATCAAGCAGAGATTTTGCAAGTTGCTTGAGGAGTTAGACATTATGCTTGGGGGGTATTGGGCGGGTAGCGGCAAAGTTTAGCCTTCTCGGCTGGGGAGGCAATGCAGGGGTCTTCAGTTAGTCTTGTGGACCCCGTGGAGTACGTGTGGTCCATGTCCGAATTTGGACCTTCTGAGTCGGATGCCGCCAATGGATCGGTGGGACGAGGTTTAGATCCTTTCTTCTTCTTTGGGAGTTGTGCTGGAGTCAAAGGGCCCGTCGGGTGGGAAAAGCGCTTATTTGACATGGACACGGTCAGATCCTTGTCTAGACTCGGCTCATGGAGGGAACACTGAGGGTTAAGTGGGGTAGGCTGAATGATCAAGCGAAGAAGACTTAACTCCGCGCATAGCTTCTCCACTATGGATTTCAATTGGGAAATATGATTGGTTAGGGTCAAAATGTCATCTGTCTGTCCAATAGTAGAGAGAGCTGGCTGTTTTTCACTATGAGGGGTCCTCTCAGGCAGTTTTGGGGGGGAGTTGAGGCCACTCTTGCTTATAATTTTGGGGAGTTGCTCTGCGAGCGCTTGGCTTCTAGATAAGAGCAGCGCTGGATAGCGCTGAATTTTAACAGGCATACATACCTCTTGCTGATAGGCTGGGCAGCGGGGAGAATTCGCAGAATGTTCTCCTCCGCAACGCACACAGCCGGCCGCAGTGGCGGTACATGTGATCGGGTCATGGTCAGCCCCGCATGTAATACATTTGCGGCGGCATGTTGTGGGCGAGTGGCCAAAATTGAGGCATCGCCTGCATTGGGGTGGACGGGGAATATATCGCTCACAGTGGTATTGTTGGTAATAGATAGTGACGGATTCCAGCGGGGAAGCACTGGCCACTGAGAAGTAAACCGTGGAGCTTGGCACGATGTTATCCTCGTCTCGTCGTGCAAAACAATGTATCTCTAGGATTGGAAGGTGGGAGTCTGAAAGTATATCGTACATTTGTTAAATAAAGAATTTTCTCTCAGTGAACTTCAGGATATAATAAGATTATAAGAAAAACTTTTATACATGCAATAATTAACTTAAACAATAGTTGATATATTTTTTATTCAAATTTCAATTCAAATGGTATAGATAAAAGTAAATGAGAGTTAACCAATTAAAGTTAACGTTGACGTTCTAGGATTTGAATCGCATTTATTCGGTTCCTGTTCGATTTTGTACTGTTTGAGTTTATTATAACAATGGCCTGAAGAAGACCCTAGTAGCGTTGAAAACGTTTGCCAAGAAGAATAACACTGGAGATTGAAAGGTTTTTATTCAAGTGGAGAGAATTGTAAATGAGAGTTACATTAATATTTGTGTAAGCATTAATTATGTATGTTTCATTTCTAAAATGAATTATATTATTAAATCTTATAATCTGTACTACAGTTTATAAAATATTCTAGTCATTTACATTGTGATATTTCTCTTAAACAACTCATTGCGGATGGATTTTTTTTTTAACTTTTCCAGCTGTTAAGTGATTTTATTAAAATAACTTTTATAGTAATCATACTATTAATAAATAAATTGTGTGTGGTTACATCTGTTAAGAGATTTTATCATAACAACTCTTTTTATATTAATTATTATAAAATCACAAAACACTTAATTTTGAGGGTAGAGATAAGTTTTATAAAAGAATTCTAAATGTTAATAACGAGTAAAATGTTCATTAAGTCCAATCTTTCTCAAAATATGACACACCATCTCTCTTCCCAACCCTTTGGTATTTAATCACCAAAATTTAATATCATCAATACCCCTTCTATACAAGTTACCACACCAAATTTTGTTTCTTAATCATTACCTCATCCCGATATATGAAATGAAATAAATGCCAACATTTCGGTGGATATGTATGTGTATGCACACATCCATGAATTTTTTCCCCATGTTTTTAACTTTGGGGGTTTCAGGAGATCTCAAAATATGGAGATTGCAAAAGTCAGAGGGTTAAACTTGACACGATTCCAACATTTCCTCCTCTTACGTATACATAATAGCTGGGAAAGTAAAAGTTAAGAAAAAATATCCAGCAACGAGTTGATTAACTTTCCCGGCAACATTTGGTGGTGCTATCTGTTTCGATAGTTAAAAATATTAAGTTATTTAATATATTACAAAATGACAAAAAGCTTCATTTTGAGAATAGGGATGGTTTTGTAAATGATCATAAATACAAATGTAGTTTTTTTTTTAACTCTCCGTCTTGAAAGCACTCAGAAGGCCTCTTTCAGCAATCCCATTATGGGAGCCGGATGGCTGAGTGGTCAAGGTGGCAGCATACCACTCTGGGAAACCTGGGCTCGAATCCAAACGGGTCAAAAAATCCCCATGAATTTTTCGGGGGTGGTCTGTTCAGATATGTTGGGCCCCGTCCCTCACCACCCGGCAGCCCTATTGTGGGCCTGGCCGAACCCATAATGGGCTTGCAAAAAGAGGCCCTCTTAGTGCCCACAGGGCAGAAAGAGTTAAAAAAATCCCATTATGGGTTCGGCTAGGTCCTCAATGGAGCTATTCGGGTGATGAAGGATTTGGCCGACATATCCAGATGCACCACCCTCTGAAAAATTCCTGGGGTTTTTTGACCCGTTCAAATTCGATTTCGGGTCCCTCAGAGCAGTAGGCTGCTACTTTGATCATTCAGCCATCCGACCATCGTATACAAATTTAGTTATCAAATTTTTTTTTATTACATTAACAGCCTTTTCAAATAAATTGGCAACTTTTTATTGTAAGTAGTAGTGTTACCACCCATCCGGTTTTCACCCGGACAGTCCAGAAATTGACTCACTGTCCAGGTGAACTATTGATTTTGTCCGGGAATTTCGTAGAAATTGTGAAATTACAAAGCAAAGTTCTTGCAAATATTTTTACAAATTTACACTATTTTAACAGCAAAAGAACTCGCACTCACTGAAACTCATCTGCAATTCTGCCATGTTAGTCTGTTTACGCCGACATGTAGCGTGTAACCTATCACTTTGTTTTTTGTTTTTTTTTTTTTGTTTACATGTACGATCGTACACGTCTCAAACAGAGCTAAGTTATCTGTACATGTTCTTTCTTAATTTAGATTACCTGCGTTACTCCTACTCAAGTCCCTAGTCCTAACTGTAACTGATTTAGAACCGGCATGCACGTTATTCTTCACATTGTAAAATGACATTGCGCATGCGTTAGGAACTTCTGTTCGAACAAACCTGGGCCGTGTTCAGTAACGTAGAACACCTAAGTTAGAATTCTGAGTGGCTTAGTGGGCGGAGCTAAGAATACATAAAAGAAGCTAGTGGTGGGAGGAGTCAAGCAGCAGTTAGAAACGAGTTCAACATTGCAGCATAACTAGACTTAGCAAGAATTCTGCATTACTGAACATGGCCCTGACCTGCCGTCCGGGTCAGCGATTTTGATAAGGTGGCAACACTAGTAAGTAGGCCTAATATTTATAAAATATACCAAATATTTAAACTTACCTTTATTTGCATATCTTTGTTGCATGCAGAATTTTGAGAAATGCTTGAATTAGGCTGATTTTCTTCTATATTTTTGTTGTAAGCAATCGAATTAGCAGTCAATATTCTATTTAAATATTTAAATAAATCATAATTACTGTAAAACCAATATAAAGTTAAAAAATATATTTATAATATTTACATTATAGTNATATTGAATTTTCTTAATAAACATATTTTCACAAAATTGTGGAAATAAAATTGTAAAAATAATAATAAAAAGTGGAAATTAACACTTTCAGCAAGAGCGGCATGTAACTCAAAAAGAGCCGCATTTGCCCATGTCTGTTATAGTACTTTGTTTGTTTTTCCAAAATTAAAATAGTAAATGAAAATCTATCATTATAAGCATTAATCCTACATTTCTAATCAATAGTTGTATGATATTTGTACACTCAAAGATTAGATATGTAACAGTTACATAATAATGCACATTGCTTAAACCAGCGATTTAAGAAATTTAAAAGTACAGTGGAACCTCGGTATACGACCTTAATTCGTTCCTGATGTTTGGACTTATACCGAATTGGACGTATACCAAACCAATCTTTCCCATAAGAAGTAATGTAAAAATGATTAATCCGTTCTCATGTGAAAAAAAATGGCTGGCTTTAACACCTCGTTTTCCTGGCTAGTTCCTGCTTGATTTTTCATGAGATCAGCATATACCTTTTTAGCTTTCTCGCAAATAATTGGTTCTGATACGCTGTCGTCAGCGCACTGTTTTTCAGTTATCCAAAGCAAAAGCAATTTCTCAACATGATCTAATGTCTTCAATCTCTGTTTAGAACTTGATTTAACCCCTTTCACAACGTTAGCAGATTTAATACAGTAATATCCCGAACTTACGCGATAGGTGGGACAGAGCGGTAACCGCGTAAGTCGAATTCGCGTAAGTCGGGGTATAATTTTGCATATAAACACATACAAATAATTTTTAATTGGGGCCGGAGAATAAAGAAAACAATACTTTAGAAAAAAATGTTTAATAAAATCTTAGATAATACATATGTATAACAAATTAGGCCTATATTATTTTACAATTTTTCACATTTACTTGATTATTACGCCATAATTTTAACATTGTTTCCATCTCAGCGATAATACTGTGACGTTTACGAATGATGCTTGAATTTAAAGATTGAGCATTTTTCACATTTTCGAGAATTTTTCTTTGCCTTTTATAATTGTTCTGACCGACAATTCCAGTAGATCAAACTTCTTTGCCAATTCACAAATTTTTATTTTTGTATCGAAGTCTTTAATAATGGGTACGTTCGTAAAGTCAAACGAGTTAAACGCGTTAGTAACGAATCGTTCGAAAAGTCTAACGAAATAGGAATAACGATGACGTCATTCTCGCTTAACTCGTTCGACTTTACGAACATACCCAATGTTAACTTTACATTACAAAGATAAAGTTTTTCTTTTCTTGTTTGATGAAGAAGAATTAGTTCTACTTCGTTTGGATGACATAGTAGTCTCTCAAGTCTCCGTAGATATAACAAACACAGAAATAAATAACACAAAATAAATTGTAGCTATGTGTGGATTCCGCGCGACACATCCGAACATGTAAGCTGAACAATAGTGTGGGGGGAGTGAGTAATCAAGGGTTGCGTGGAGCTCAAACAAAAGACGAATCGACGAGATTTGAAAATCGCGTAACTCTGGGTTCGCGTAAGTCGGGGTATTACTGTAATGTCTTTATTTTTCGCGATTGTCGATATCGTCGTTCTCGGAATACGGCATGCAACAGTTAAAATCTCGAACACGCATGCCACCTTCATATTTCTCAACAATCTCTTTTTTCAGTTCCATTGTGATTCTAGTCATTTTTTAGTTTTCTGTTGCTTTTCATTTGCCTTTTCGCAATTCATGATTAATAAAAATAATAAAATTTTACTTACAAATTAAAATCAGAAGAAATTTAACAAAGTTATAAACCGTGGCACCGCGAACGTCTAGTCTGGTCTAGTACACCGATAATGCTACTTATTCATAGATGGCGCGTATAATTGAATTTAAGTCGTATACCGAACAAAAGTCGTATACCGAGCAAAATTTGTTTCGTCCAAACAGGACGTATTCCGAATTTGACGTATTCTAAAGCAGACGTATACCGAGGTACCACTGTATTATAATATAAAAATATCAAGTTGAATTTGTCAGAAACAACCAAGTAGCACCTAAATAGGGGCCAGTTTCCTGTAAAAGACCTCCCGGGAGACATTCCGCCTCGGCAGATCGCCCATGTATCGCGTTGCCGTAATCAAATAAACCAGCCGTGCTGTACAAAGGTATACCTGTACTTATTTCCATTATAATCACATTGTTATTTTCTTTTCATTTATGTACTGGTAGATAAAAAAGTTGGAGTAAAATTTTTTAGAATTTTTCTATTTTTAATTATTTAAATTAAACATTTCGCCCGCGATATCGATATATACGAGGGCTGTTTTTTTCAAGCTCCGATGGTCCATGAAACAAAGACAAGTGTAAGTAACAAAATAAATTTATTACCAAAAGTTAGGTACAAACATTGTTACTTTTCGACATAATCACTGTGAAGACTGAGGAATTTGTCATATCTGTGGACGAGCTTTTCCATCCCCTTGTCATAGAATGTTGTCGCCAGTGATTGAGATGGCCTTAACAACATTGTTTTGAAGATCATCATTAGTCTCAAGCCTCTGCCCTGCTAGCCATGTTTTCAGTTCAGGGAAGAGATGAAAGTCTTCACCATCTTTAAACACCCAGCCCCGTATAGTCCCGATCGACTTCCACTTCTTTCCTGAACAGAAAAAGTGGCTAGGAGGGCAGAAGTTCTAAACTAATGACGATCTTCAAAAAAACGTTAGGGCTCATTTCAAGTCATTAGCGGCAACATTTTATTCTATGACACGGGGATGGAAAAGCTCGTCTTCAGATATGACAAATGCCTTAATTTTCACAGTGATTATGTCGAAAAGTAACTATGTTTCTACCTAACTTTTGGTAATAAATTCATTTTGTTATTTACACTTGTCTTTTTTTATGGACTATCGGAGCTTGAAATAAAACAGCCTACGTAGTTACTAAATTTAGCTATAGTATCAGTGGACAAGTAGTTTAAAGGCAGGTTACGTTGCACAAAATAGGCTAGAAAATAGCGTACACAATTTAGTTTATACAGTATATATTAGTTTGATTTACTACTATTGTTTTTATCCAGTTGTTTTAAACTTGGAAGTGGATATGAAAATAATTTATTTAATTTTAATGATTTGTTATATTTATAATTATCAGCTATTTCAATAAAAACTTATTCACGTAATTATTTCTACGTAATAATTTCCTTAATTGATCATTTAAATTTTCATATTTTTTTACATTTAAATTTAATTATAGCTTTAATTTGTTTCTCTGCTTTCCGTATCTAATGTTTTGGGATCACATTTTTTACCGGCTTTCTTAGTTTTAACATATTAGTTTTTTCCTTTAAAAAGCACTTTAAATAGTGTATAATAATATATCATGTTTAAACATTTCTGTCTGTTTCGTCAATCTTCTTATCTTGGTTTTCATGCCCATTTCTATTTCTTGATATACACTACAATGTGGATAAAGTTACTGAATTTCGAATTCAATTTTAACCCCCTTCGTAAAAAAGTTTACCATTTGAAAAGTTTACCATTTGAACAAGTTGAAAGATTACTACGACTTTGTAACAGTGCTGATAATATCCGGGTTGACCAGTGCCTGGTTACAGGACGCGAACGACCGGATTTCCGAAATTGTACCGTATTTGTATATTTAAATTTATTTTCATTTTTATATATCAAATTACAAATTTTAAAATGAAATGTATTCTTTTAACTTACTGACTTTCTTTCTCTGTATTCTGAGAGCTGCAAGTTATTTCAACAAAATTCTGCGATTTAATACTTTTTAAATTTTTTGAATGCTCTATTACTTCTTGTGCTCTCATTTCTGGAGAACAATTAGTATTATTTTCAGCATGTTCAATAGAAATGTCTCTGAAATTATTAGTTATATTAACTAATTTAAATATTTGTAAATATTTTGTTACATTTGAAAAATCATAAAAAAATCTTACGTTATATGCGGATCAGAATGACCATTTTTATTACTAATTACATCAATATTTTCTAAATCTGTGGTTGTTGCCCTTTTCTTGACTGGTGGACTAGACGTATCTGAATTATCTTGATTTATTACACAGTTGTCAGTTTGATTAGTATCCATACTAATATATAAATAATAAAATTTTAAAAGTTTTAATTTATTTTATTATTCTACTAATTTTAATAATAAATTTGGAGCATATTAGATTGTGAACAATTTATCAATGAAAAAGAGCCGTTTGTATTATGTTGTTAGAATAAAACTTGCACACGTTTTTCGTAATCTTTTCCCGATGTATTCGGGTTTATATACTTACTTGTTAGAATAGAACAAAATTCATTGTGGAACGTATGACATTATTTTTGACTGGTTATTTATAACAACAAAAAAAATCAAAAACTCTTACCAGCAATACTTTTAATTATGAAAATCAAATGTTTCTAGTATTTTCTTGCATCCATCATCAATTGAAAGTGTTTTATTTATCATTCATTGGAACGTATTGAATTCAAGATTTCCATTACCTACATACATTTAACTTGAAAAAGATTCATCAGAAACATTTGCAAGTTTACATATAAGATTTTATTCTAGTGACATCATTTTTTTCATTGATAAAGAATTTTAATATTCTGCTAAATATTTATAAATTCTCTACTATAATTAAGAATAAGAAATAAACAAAATAAAGTTTTGAAAAAATAATATAGATCACTTTAAAAAATTAGTAATATGTTCAATCACTAATAGTTAAAAAAGTAGAACGTAGTTTAATTATTATCATTATTCTGTTTTTGTTGCTAAATGATGTTTCGTATTAATTAATTTCTTCAACTATTTATTCGAAAGTTTTGAGCTTTTCTCTTTGCAAATATTTAAAAATTTAATAAAGTTTCAAACAACTTATACTTCTGATATACTCAGGGTCCTCGAAAGAGTAACTGGGGTTTTCCCCAGGCCCAGAGTAAACTCAAGGGTTTATAGTCGTTTTTATTCCCAATAATTAATGTTATTTTTGCTAACAAAAAGTAAAATATTTAAGACTACGCTTTTTTAAATAACGCAATATTCTACGTGTTTCATTTGCAAAAAAGACAATAGGCACCTGGACATACTAGGAAGGATATAGCCTATTGTATTTCGACGTATCATATTTATTTTTTTCAGAATTAAACGAAACTAATTAATAACAATTGTAATCAATAATACCATAAAAAGGATGATATTTTAGTCACTTTTAAATAATTAAATGTTACGTTAATTTCGTATGTTAATTACGGTTGTAACCTTTATATAAGCTGGCAGTCGTAAGAAGAGACTGAACCACTTTTCAATCAGTAGTTATTAGTTAATTGTTTATTAGTATCTCATTCTCTAATTTCCTGTCCTTTGATTATATTTCATATATCTGAGAATAATGCTAAAATAACATACAGTATTGTTATTTGTGATCAAAAGATTATTTCTATCGTTTATATAAAATTCATAAAAGTGATAGAACAGATTATAAATAAGTTACCAAAATACAATGATTTGAATGAGGTACTGTATTCCTATTTCGAACAATTTCTGGATCCTGAGCCAGGAAATTCACCTGGAGCGGGGAGCCGGAGAAAGGAGCCATGATTAGAACCCTTACTCCAAAGCCTTGCTTTTCAACTGCCATCCCAGTCTCTGTTACCACTCCTTGACGGGTCACATAGATCCACTCCCAAAATTACGTAACGCATATCCTAGATCAGGTGTGAAGTCTTTATAAGTGTGACTACCAAAATCGCCAAATCTATGATGCAAAATTTTTCTCGTGCTAAACCGAAATTTTTGGGAGTATATTATCATTTGGTGTATTTTAGTATTGAGTCTTTTCATATCAAAAATCCACATATTGTACAGTATACACACTTTAGAAATCCGATAAATGTTTTACGAAACACAAAAAAATATACATAAAAACGATGATGGGCGTTTATTTTTTTAACTGCGGGTTGCATGCCGGAAAAAAGTCGTTGGCGTGTCAATTTTCGTACGCGTGTCAAGGGTTTCCCATTTCCTTAATAGATCAACCCCCTTATTTGTAAGGAATAATACAGAACTCGGAAACGTTATATTATTTTTATTAATTATGTACAAAACAGTAAAATAAATAGCAGGATTCACGAAGCAATGTGTGTGGCGACGTGTTATGGGATTTTATTATTAAAATTTTTTTATCTTTTTAATTATTATAAAATGGCAAAAGGCTTAATTTTATGGGTAGTGACGAGTTTCATGTAAAACTGTAAATGCTAAGAACGAGTAAAATCTTCGTTAAGTCCGACTTCTCTCGAGATATGACACGTGATACCCCTCTATCCTCCCTCGACCTTCAACCACCAAGATTTAATAGCATCAATGCCCCTAGTATTCAAACATCCATACAAAGTTTTGTTTCTTAATTTTTACCTATCCCGAAGTATTGAACGAAATAGACGCCAACACACACACACACACCCATAAAATTTTTTCCCGTTTTTACTTTTACTTTTTTTACTTTTTTGGGTTCAGGGGTTTCAAAACGTGGAGACTTGCAAAAATCTCGGATGGTAAAATTTGATACAATTCCAATACTTGTTATCTATACATAACAGCCGGGAAAATAAAAACGGGAAAAAATCCGTGGATGTGTATGTGTTTCGTTTCATATCTCAGGATAAGGTATAGATTAAGAATCAAGATTTGGCACGGTAGCTTGTATATAAAGGGCATTAGTGCTATAAAATATTGGTGGTGAACGGTTGAGAGGTGGTCAAGTGTTATATCTCGAGTGGGGTCGGACTTAACTAAGATTTTATTTGTTGTTAGCATTTACATTTGTTTTTTTCCTTTAAATTCATTTCTACCCTCAAAATTAAGCCTTTTGTCAGTTTATAATGATGAAAATATAAAAAGTTTTTATAACAATCTCATAACAGACGGCATCACACACAATTTTATTTATTATGATTAATGATATAAAACTTATTTTTTAAATAAACTCTCATAACAACCGGAAAAGTTACGCAACTCGTTGCTAGATTTTTTAAGGAGTAGTAGGCTTTAAATCTGCTGAATACCACATATTTCATAACCACCACATTTGGTACTAAAATAACATATGCTAATGACATACAGACTAGTAATATGTAGTTTATTCTCATCATTTCACTGATCAAGTTTAGTTTGAATGTTCTTCATCACCAATATAGGCTTAATTATGGTTGCATAATAGCACGAGGCAGAGAGTGGAAAAATAAAATTACATTTCCGAAGCCCGTAGGTATCATACGGATTACTCAAGACATTACGAATGCAATAACTTATCGAGAGGCATGAATTTCTATGTATCGAATGAGTTGTGCATTACATTCATTGGTTGAGTTTCAATTCGGTGTGTCTGTGAGTAGTTTTGTCAGTCATGCATCGAAACAATGAGTCGACTCACTTTATGAATTGATACGAAACATTCGAGCCGACCTCTTGCAATCGAATATTAATTGTGAACAAAGAAGTCAAACTGTTCGTTTATTTAAGAATTAAAAAGCTTTAGCAGTTTTCAATGGCAGTTCGATCATGACAAGTTTTAAGCGATCAGAGTGCGAGCTAACGATGTTTCTGCTCATCTTGGTTATTTATATAAAAACAATTCGCGAGTCCTGGAGGATTGATTAATGTGTTCTTTTGTATTGTATTTAGATATTCTGTTAATCTGTAAATTTTATAAATTGTTAATTGCTTTAAAATCTTAAAATATATTTACCTGGTAAACTTATTAATTTCCAATAGGTACAAACATACCTTATATAACGTATTACGCTTATATATATAAATTCACTAGTTTTAGTAGCGCGTTCCTTTTTTCGAATATCAGCGATATGATGTCGTCTGTTTTAATTAAACTATTTCCAAATCAGAAAAATTTTTGTAACTGGTAAATGTATTAAAAAATTGATTTTGTTTTTTAATGTAAATTTTAAAATATTTTATTATTATTTTGATGCGTTTATTTCTGATCAAATAATTTTGAATTAAAAGAAAATTATTTTGTATTGAAATTTGAGAAGGTGGCAACAATGTCTTTTTAGTTTTAGCAGAGTCGGTAGATTAACTGGTCTTTCGACTTCCTATCTTCGCTCGTTGCTAGAATCAGAGTCGGTAGATTAACTGGTCTTTCGACTAATAGTTCAAACTTAGCTAGAGACAATATTTGCCGCTAGTTGGCGCCACTGTTAGCAGAAGAGATTTATTCTTGCTATGTGTATACTGAGGTCAGTGATTTCGACTTATAATAAGTGTTTTTTAGCTACATAAAAATGCTAACGTGCTTTGTGCCAGGATGCAAGGCATGATATAAGTCATCGAACGAGAAGAGACATTTATTTCGTGTTCCTAGCGATAAGATTGAGGAGTGGATGCGATGCATTCCACCAGACAAGATGCTAACAAATAAATGTTACGTTTGTGACGTACATTTTGCGAGTAGATTTGTTTTAAAAACCTTCTCCCATGTTATAAATGGAGAGAAAGTAGAAATTCCACGAGATCGCTGGGCATTAACGTCGGATGCATATCCATCAAACTTCCCTAATTGTCCTAAGTACATTAGTAAGTCTGTACCTCAAAAACGATCAACGCGATGTCTCACAAGAAATGAAGAACTATCTAGGAAGAGATCGCGAAAAGACAATACCAAAGGTAAATATAAATATTTATGTTTTTTATGTAATCTTAATCCTCAGTGAGTCATGTAATTTTTTGCCCTTGCCTGAGTCGCAGTGCGTCTCTCGGACCCTGTGTTTTAATATAAAATTAAATTTTATCTATATTTAAGGAACATTTTATATTTAAAAAATGTTAAGATTGAGCTGGGTTTGTGAGATCCACTGTGATTCACTGAGGGTTATCTCTATGTGGCCCATCTTTCCTTATAAATACTTTAAGATTAATTGTCTGATATTTTTTTTTATCAATCATTAGATTTGCATGATACACACTCCCAAGTAACAACTGTAGAAAAGGAAGTAGAAGAACNTGAAGAACCATCTAGGAAGGGATCACAAAAAGACAATACCAAAGGTAACTATTTATGGTTTTTATGTAATCTTAATCCTCAGTGAGTCATGTAATTTTTTGCCCTTGCCTGAGTCGCAGTGCGTCTCTTGGACCCTGTGTTTTAATATAAAATTAAATTTTATCTATATTTAAGGAACATTTTATATTTAAAAAATGTTAACTAAAGATTGAGCTGGGTTTGTGAGATCCACTGTGATTCACTGAGGACTATCTCTCTGTGGTCCATCTTTCCTTATAAATACTTTAAGATTAATTGTCTGATATTTTTTTTTATTAATCACTAGCTTACCCGTCGCGCATTGCTGCGATCTCAGAAGAGATGAAATTCAAGCAAACTCGTTATAATAAAATTAAATTTTCATTTTATCATTTTTATTNATATTTAAGGAACATTTTATATTTAAAAAATGTTAACTAAAGATTGAGCTGGGTTTGTGAGATCCACTGTGATTCACTGAGGGCTATCTCTCTGTAGCCCATCTTTCCTTATAAATACTTTAAGATTAATTGTCTGATATTTTTTTTTTTATCAATCATTAGATTTGCATGATACACACTCCCAAGTAACAACTGTAGAAAAGGAAATAGAAGAGAAACTGAAAACTCTTCGAACAGAAAATCTCTAGCTTCATCAAGAAAATACTGAACTTAAAATAAAATAGTTGTTGGCTGATAAACTTAATTCCTTAACACCGAGACAAAAAGTTGTAATTTTCCTTGTAAGTAAAGTTTATTTTCCTTTGTCTCCTCTTTCTGTGAAATTTGACACTGATGAGTCATTGTTTACACAGCTGGATGACCTTGAGAACAGCTGGAGTCGGATTTCCCGGGGCATTCTCATAGACGTCTCGGGAGGACNTTGCTTAACTTTTCCGGGTGTTATGAGATTTTACTGAAAAAATCTGTTTACATTATTATTATAAAATAGAAAAACGCTTCAAATTTTATTTTCCTTTGTCTCGTCTTTCTGTGAAATTTGACACTGATGAGTCATTGTTTAGACAGCTGGATGACCTTGAGAACAGCTGGAGTCGGATTTCCCGGGGCATTCTCATAGACGTCTCAGGAGGACAAGGGTTTAAAGTAGGGTGAATACTAGCTGGCCTTATATTTTTAAATATTTTTAAAAAATTAAAATTTTAATTGCGATTTCCGACCCCCTTCGAAATTAATTAAATTTATACATAATAAAATTAAAAAACTATTGGAGGTCGTTTTTGACATCAGAAAGTAGCTTTAAATAACTTTACCGAAGGAAAATCCGTGCGCTACAACTTTAGAACAATGAATTAAATTTGATAAAAAAATCCCATTAAAAACAATTAAGCCTTAATCGAACATTATCAAAGGCTAATTAAAATCGCGATAAAATTTCTTCGCGCGGGGAAAAATTTGTGGACCCAAAAACCATTCCAAAAATTGAAAAAAAAAAAATTTGTCAAAAGTGGCCTTAACGACCGAGTTTTTCGTAACGCTATGTAAACTTAATTCCTATTGACGAGTTAACTCGTCAATGGGAATTAAGGTGTTTGGTTACTTGACTGTTTGCTTTTAAAAATTAGGTCACCATCTGTCTATGAATTTTTGAGAAATAATGATTACTTGCCTTTATCCTGTCAGTCTACACTGCATCAATATATCAGAGGCATTAATGCCAAATTTGGATTTGATAAAGATCTTTTTGTTATTTTAAAGACAAAATTGGAGACTATTCCACGAACAGAATGCCAGGGAGTTTTAATTTTTGATGAAATCACACTTCAAAAACATATAGAACTTTCTAAAGCTACTGGTGAAATGATTGGACTTGTTGATTGTGGTGACAATTCTGTATTGCCACAGAGTGAATTTACAGCAGGTGATCATGGCCTAGTGTTTATGTTCAGACCTCACTTTGCTAGTTGGGTACAATGTATTGGCACATTCTGTTCAAATAGCTCTGTCCCAGGTTCTACTGTTGCAAAACTTATTTTGCAAGCAATTATTCATTTAGCACAGTGTGGTGCAATAGTCAATGCAATAGTTTGTGATGGTGCCAGCACAAACAAAGCAGCTTTAAAAGCTCTATGAATTTGTGCAGACACAAATAATATACAATGCTCATTTACAAACCCTACTGCAGATAGACAAGTACTAGCTATTATTGATGTACCACATATTTTAAAATGTATGCAAAACAATCTTTTGAAAAGTAGATACTTTCAGGTAAAACTAAGAAAATAAAGTGTTTTCACCTAATTTATAATATAAGCCATTGCATTATTCTGCATTTTTACTTTTAGTTTCCTGAAGGAAGGGTAAATTGCAGCATTTTAAAGCAGTTGTTGATGAAGATTCCAAATTACCAAAGGGATTAAAGGTATGTCCCAAAGTGACAGAAATACATGTTAATCCCAATAACTTCCAGAGAATGAGTGTATTGCTGGCAGCTCAAGTAACACATTTTTTACTTATATAATCTTGACTTGATAAGAATACTTTTATTTATCTCATTTATTTATAGATATTTAGTAATACTTTTGCTGATGCTATGCTGTTTTATAAACAGCGTGAGGTTGCTATCCTAAAGAATGCAGATGTTACAATAAGTTTCATACGTCACATCAATGCTCTTTTTGATGCTTTAAATCGTAGATTGCCACAGGAAGGAATCAGACATGATTCAAATGATCTCAAGGTAATAGTAATGATTCACTACAAAAAACTATAAATGTTTTAATTAACAACTTTTTTAAAATAGGTTATTGAAGAATCTCTAGAATGGTTAAATAGATGGGAAGCATTCAGATTACAGATTAGAAGCACTGATAAAAAGGGATTTTTGAGCCACCAGACAGCAGAAAATCTACGCTTGACACTGACTAGTATCTTAGCACTCATCAAACAATTGCTTCCAAACTCATATTATATCCTGACAGCTCACTTTAATCAGGACCCATTAGAGGTAAAACTGACTTAGTGTAATGATTATATAATCTTGTATTAAACTCTTAACTTATGTTTTCTTTTCAATTAGCGTTTCTTTGGAATGATAAGACAAGGAAGTGGAAGCAATTCTCATCCCACAACAGTACAGTTCTTATACTAGTACAGACTGATGACTGTGTACAGTTTGGTTTGTCCTCCCAAACAAGCATCAGTTCTAACTGATCCTGGATCTTCCCTTATTACTTTAAAAAATCTTCTTCATAGTCATAAAAAACCATTTAGGAAATTCAAGAACAATTGGAAGAACATTTACAAAATTTGCTTTCTAATTCAAGCCTGTCCTATGGAGATACTAGTGATAGTGAATTATTAGATCGTGATTATTGTGCACCAGAAACATTTATGTTTATTCTAATTATTTAGGAGGTTACATTGTTTATCATCTACTGCCATCACTCGGTTGCAAAAATATATTAACAGCAAAACCTGAAGATGCTGCACCAGAGAAGACATTTACATTCATCAAATCTCGAAGAGGTTTGTTATATCCAAGCTATAAGCTTTGCCAATTGATGTACTGGGCAGAAAGCAAAGTATGTGGCATACATTACAACATTGTATGAAGTGACATCTTGTAGTAAACGCATAGTAGTTAGTCAATATGGAGAAATATACTATGCAGGAGCAAATGATTATCAAAACTAATTACAGGCACAAGGAAAGTTTTGCTGCAACTGTAAGCAAATTATGCAGCATTTTCGATTGGAGAAATGTTCCATTTGAAACAATGTGCAAATACTGATTTGAAAATTTGAACAAACATGCTCAATTATGGATAGCAAAAGAACTGGCTGTTTTCACAGTCAGCTGAAAACATTGCCACAAGCAAAAGAGTGGTTGAGTGTGCTGAAATATCAATTTGCCATTGGTCACTGGAATTAGATATTACAAGCACCATGCAGCAGAGTTTGAGAAAAGACCTGCATCTGCACTCATTCAACATTCAACTAACTCAGGTATTGAAGACAAATAACCATTTGATGCACCAGGTATTCATCAGTTGGGTGCTGGAGAATCAGCAGGTGAATGGCAATTTTGCTAAGAAAATCATCTTAAGTGATGAGACACATTTCTACCTTGATGAGTATGTCAACAAGCAAAAATGTTGCATTTAGGGCATGGAAAATCTTTGTGTTGTTCAAGAACAACTGATGCATGAGTGACAATTTGACATGTATTTTGGACCAGTGGAGTGATTAGGTCATACTTCTTTGAAAATGAGGCTGAAAATGCAGTTACTATCAATGATGTGCATTATTGCAAGATGATATTGGCATTTTTGTGACCTCATTTGGACAGCATGGATTTGAGTGACGTGGTTCCAGCAGGATGGCATGATCTGCAATATGGCACATAAACAACTGAGTTGTAGCAGAAATTTCATGGGTGACTCATCTCACACAATGGCGATCAGAATTGGTCACCAAGATTATGTGATCTGACAGTGTGAGACATTTTCCTCTGGGAATTTGTAAGTCCACAGCTTATGCCACTAAAATAAAAACGATTCCTGAATTGAAAGTGAACTTTTATGTATTTTTGAATCATCAATGGTGACTGTGAAATGACAAATTATGAAGAGAAAATTCTTTGTATTCTTCAATACAGTTGACCCCCCTATAACACGGGCTCCTCCTATACTTCGGATTCCTATATCACGGCAAAAAAATTGCAACTGTATTCGTACAAACACGCTAAAAAAAACTCATATAATTTGGTAAAACATCATCGCCGACTTGTGTTGCGACAGGATTGGTCGAACCTAGACCAATAGCGGATATTGCACAAACCGTTGAGTTTAAACGAGCAGCGGACCTACTAAATGATGAACCTACTAAAAACCATTTATTATTTAACGTCCATAAAAATTATGGACGTTAAATAATATATCAAGACATCATAAATATAAGACATCATTAATATAAATTATATTTATATTAATGATGTCTCCAAAGTTCAGTGAATTTTTCGCAAAAAAATAATTTATCAGGAAGCACGCGAGCACCATTCGATGACATGCTCCATGGCGAAAACAAGCTTAAGCAATGGCGTCGTCGAACGGTGCACGCTCGGTAAGTAATCCTACGATTTTTTGTTTATAGCATAGTTTATATGGATTATTCCCAAAAAATTATACGTATTTTGGAAATGTTGAGTCAAATGAGTCTAGTATTGATTAATTTTATGGAAGAAAACCTTTCAAACAGTCGTAGTCCACTGCAAAAGTGCCGGGCTGTGATTGGCTCACGTATTCAAGGACTCTTAGAACATCAATTTCATAAAGAACAGAACGTATCTATCGTGTTATAGGGGGGTCGACTGTATTTTTATTAAGATGATCATTAAAAAATGTGAAAGAAACCATTGCACGTTGCAGACATATTTATTTGTCATTATGATCTTTCTGAAACCATCAAAGGCATATATACCTCACCTTTAGTTCTCCCCCATTCATTTTCTGTATGTTAATTTATACTTGCTATTATTAGACACTCCTATTTGAATCTGTATCTTGAAAGTTGATAAGTTTCAGTAATTTCCCTCATATAAATAATAACTCTTACAGAATTATTTATAAGCTTATTGTTAATTTCATTCTATTCTAGTTCTTTATAGTTAACAGCAGCTGAATGATTGGATCTCCATATCTGTATCATATTAATTTTTCTAGTTATTTTAGCATTTATTATTTTAATATGCATTTAACTAATATTATTTGACAAGTAAAACAAAAGTTAAACAATAAGAAAAGTTATTTGTTGTTTGATGATCATTTGTCTTTCAATATTCAATGCAATTTAGATGGTTCCATTGTAAATATTGTGTGTTTTTTCCAGTGTCACTTACTTAAATTACACTTAAATGAACTGCTAATGGAAATAAAATGAAAGATAAGTGAAAATAATGTTTGAGATAATAATTTCTGAAGTATATACAGCCAATGTGGCTGCTGAAAGTGTAGGATATACAGTTGTGCAAATTATTTGAAGGTTTTATTTCCATTATAGCAATTTTTGTAGGGTATATGCTGGTGTAGGTGATCTGCAAGAAATTATAGTAATTGAAAAATTTACTTATTGTATTTTCATGTACTATTAAGAATTTATAACACACAAAGAGATGAAATGATCATATTTTAATAGTTTATTTTACATACCATATATATGAATATTAAATTTTGAATGATACAAATGCATAGTTAAATTCAGTTTAAATTTTAATCTTTTACAAAAAATGTTACATTCTATGTCAAGTTTCTTTTGATGTAATATTTATATGCAAAATGAATATATTGTATTTAAACAAAAACTATTTGTTAAATTGGAATTCCAGAATTCCCCGAATCTTTTTCTTGCTGTTCTTTAATTTTTTGCCATTTCTGAACTAGAGATGGAATGTTCTTCATCTTTAATGTCAAACCAGAAGATAATTTACACTACAGTAGAAAATATATTATTTATAAAATCAATTGACTAACTTAACTAGATAAATTCACAACTTACCTTTTTCCTTTCTTTCTTTGGTGGAAGAACAGATGTGTTTGATACTTCTGTACTGTTTACTGATATAGAATCATGAATTTTATTTGATGCACATTCAAATGTGGATTGACAGACTGAAGAATGTGGATAATTCACAGAAGTTATTAAATAATGATTTATCACTTTATCTTCATTTGAAGATATTGAAGAATTTGGAGGCTTGATTATAATTGCATTATCTGTTACACTTGTAGGAATCACAGACATTGATGATGAAGGTGAAGATTGATAAGATAGCTGTGAATCAATTTTTAATTCATTAGGAATTTGTAGTGATGTTGATATGGTTTGTTCATCACATTGGTCATCAGAGTCAATTTCCATTTCCACATCTGCAATTTCTCCATCTTCTAATTCTGTGCTGTCTGGTGGTGGTGGTGGTGGACTGTTTGGTGGTGGTAAAGGAGGAAGAGGAGGTAATGGAGGTTGAAGAGGTTTATCAACACCTGGTGGGGAAGGTGGTGGTGATTCTGTTTCATGACTAGCTACTCTACTGCTCCATGTTGTTTCTGCTTGATATCCTGAAATTTTCAAATATATTTATCAAGCTATTTTTCAAGTATTAGTCTTATAAAATTAAATGTGCCACATTTAATTTTATAAGAGATTAAAAAAATAATACATTTAAATATTGTGTTAATATAATATGTTTTTTGATAATTCTGGATCTAATATTCATCTATTTGAAAAAAAGCATCTATATAGTTAATGATAAATCATGATACCAATGAATGAATTGACATTCATACCATTGATTTGCCACAATTGCTTGTAAACATAAATAATAGTTCACATGATAGCCAAATATTCTCTCTGAAATTCTGAAATCAGAGAAAATATCTGGCTAACATGTGAATTATAATTTACATTTACAAGCAATTAAAGTTTTCTGCTTATAGTGTGCTAATTAACCAATTATTTACTGACCAAGATATATTAGATATAGCTACATTTTAATATAGAATAAATAAATGAATTACAAACAAATGACATATATAATTCAAAACAAACTTTTAACCAGTTTCATTTTTAGAGAGAGTATATGATAAATCTTTTATTATAAAATTTATATCACAAAGCCATATATAGTGAGAAAATGACTAAGCACAAATCTTTAAAAAACAAAAAATAATCACACATTTAATTCCTGAGTAAAGTTCTTTGACTGATTTTAGAGTAATCAATTTCAATTCTTTTAATGTGTAGAGTTTAGATATCTGAATATAGAATTCAATAAAATATTTATTTTTTGATAAATGAATATCTGGGATTAATTGCTTTAATTAATGCTTAATTAAACACTGACTGTATCAAAATAATTTTTCTGTTGCTACATATCAACAAAATAAAAATATTAAGTATTTTTATTTAATTAAAACTTACTCATTAATAATTATAAAATCATTAAACTTAAAAAAGGATAAAATAATTGAAAAGTGCTGTACCTGTATTAGATGCGTATACTGAAGGAACAGATGCAATTTGTGGTGCTGTTGCTTCTGATACAGATGAAGAAACTAAAGAATGTTGTGGTAATTGAGTATTTTTCCTTTCAGCAACATTTAAACCATTAGAAACTGAACTTTCTGAAATGGCTTCAGAATGCATTTGATCTCCAACTGTCTGCGGGTATTCCCATTGTGTACGTCCAGTCCTTTCATTAACATAAAAGTACCTTTTGTGTTGCCTGTAGGAACGGGATAAGGCAGAGGAGAGGAATAAATAATAAAATAAATGTCAGAATTTTAATGTAAAACAAATTATACATACCTGAAATTAACTTTTAATTGTTAAATAAAATTTTAAGAAAACACAGATAATGAACATTATATATGAAATAATTTCTTACCTCTTTATTGGTATTTCTAAATTTACACTAAGTTTTAATTATAATTTATATGCTAATTTTTATTTTTGGCAAATATTTTGTTGAAGATTTATTGTTATATATTTCCTACAGTAGTGGTTCCCAACCTATTTTAATATAGAATTGATCTTACCTTTGTAAGATGTAGGCTGCTTTGTAGTTTAAAGATCCCTTTGTTGATTTTGCTGCTTAGGAAAGTATGATCCAATAAAATCGAATAAATAGTATCAAATGAGAGTTAATTTATTTATTTATAATTAAAAATGTTGAATTTATTCAGAACGGAAATATCATTTTAGTTCACTTTTTTGAATTATAATAAAAGGGATAAGAAAAATAATTAAAACTAGTGTAGGTTGGGAACCCCTAGCAAATAATATCTTAAATTGTAAATGTAAATATTCAATTAAAATACTATTTTTCTTTCTATCAATAATGTAATTTTTAATGATATTTAAACATAACTCTGTTATTTTAACATATTACACAATCATTCTTTAAAGAAATTTTGATGGTTAACAATATAAAAAGCAATATGATATACATATTGATAAAATGTATGAACTGTGACAAAAAAATCAATTATATGATAAAATAGATTTTATGTGAAAACTTTCTAATAAATTATGGTAATTAATCATCATTCGTTTCCTTAAAGTTACTTCTTTATTTTTAATTTGCAGATACAATATAAATAAAATTGTATTAATAACTAATAACTTAAATCTATAATTGACTGATTTATAAATTTACATATTATATATAAATTATTAACAAAATACATTAACAAAATATTTTCCTATGTTATAAAAAATTATTTTACTATCTCATTGATATTTAAACAGAAAATTGTTATTATTCAGTTTAATTATTATTTACAAAAAAGGAAGACTATTTTCAGTATTTCTGTATGTGACTTTTTTCTATGTAGAAATTTTACAGCAATCAAGTTGAACTTTCCAAAAAATTAATAATAATTAATATTTATTTTAACATTTAAAAAAATGACCAATTCTGTTATTATATTTATAAGAAACATTAATCTATAAAGAAAATCAAAAAAGCATAAAAATGAATTGAAATTTTATAATAAAAAAATTGAAAGGATTGGTTGCTTCTAACAATAAATTTTTTTTCTTCAAACTGCATAAATAAACGCATAAATGCAACGATTTTTGTTTTTTCTAGTTCTTCTATTTAAATATTTCTTACAAAACTAAATTTGACAAAATTCTCATTATTTAAAAATGCATTATTTATTTTTCAGAAAAATTAGTTGTGTTTATTATTTAGATTGAATTAGTTAGGGTAATAAATAGGTTGTAATAAATTGGAGAGCTTATCTTTATCATCTGATGTGATAAACCCTCCAATTTATTACAACCCTATTTATTAGGCAAACTAGTTCAATCTAAATTAAAGTTGTGGACTAGAAGCATTAATATTAATATTGTGTTTATTATAATAATCTTTTCATGGAGAACTTATGCATTTTCAGTGAGACTTTTAAATATTTACACTATTATAAAAATATATTCTTTAATTTAATACATGACAATTTTAATTATTTTATTTAAGAAACACTAATATCAAAATTAATTTATAACTATTGAATTTTACAGATATTGAATATATAATAAAAATGTTTAGTCCTTTATAATTAAAAAAAGCTATAATTAAATTTTAGACTTATAAGAAATTTTTAGATTACATTAGAGAGAAAAAATTTTTATTGTACATCTAATAGAATTAAATAAAATTACTTTTAACTTTTAATATTTAAATTTGATAATATACATATATTTTGTCCATGTTTTGTGCACATAAAACATTATTCTAAATTTTTTATTATAGCCTAACTATATTAAGTTTTATTATATTAATGATAAATAAGTCATTAAATGAGAAAATATCAAATTTTAGAATCCATAAATACACATTTAAACTCTACTTGTATTTAAGTTTTAAACCTCAAAAATACAAAAACTTGATTGCTTATTCAGTTTTATGAATTATCTTGATTAAAAAAATTTTAATATTGCATTTAAGAATTTAAGAACAAAAGTTTAAAAATAAAAAAAAACATAAAACAAACATATAAGATAAAGAGATATCTGTCCTACCTCAGGACTCCCTGCCAATGGATGTCTTCAACTTCTGCAGCAGGAGGGGCAAGCAGTCAATCCTCAACATGTACCGTTGGTTTCATACTCACACCAACTAATTACTGTATTATGTTCTTACACTTAAATCTATATAGATTTCAGCAAAATTTTTTGTTTTTCTTTCTTTTTTTTTTTTTTTTTTATAAACTTGCCAACTAAAATTGTATTTATTTACTGGCAAGTGATTGGTAATTCTTTGTTAATGAAAGCATTAATTTCTACTATATATTTTTTAAATTAATATTTATATAATTATTACTGGTGTTTAAAATTTGTTTTAAATTATAAATGTCTTTTAATACCTTTACCACCTTAATACTCTGAAAATAGTAGTTGCAGTTTACAAGAATGTAAATCATTAAAACAATTTGCTGGTTTTCTTCATTGTTCAAAGGATATAATATCCTTAGTAGCAAAGCTGTTTTTAACTTTGCTACAAAATGACACAGCATATAGTTTTTTAGAGTATCANGATAAATAAGTCATTAAATGAGAAAATATCAAATTTTAGAATCCATAAATACACATTTAAACTCTACTTGTATTTAAGTTTTAAACCTCAAAAATACAAAAACTTGATTGCTTATTCAGTTTTATGAATTATCTTGATTAAAAAAATTTTAATATTGCATTTAAGAATTTAAGAACAAAAGTTTAAAAATAAAAAAAAACATAAAACAAACATATAAGATAAAGAGATATCTGTCCTACCTCAGGACTCCCTGCCAATGGATGTCTTCAACTTCTGCAGCAGGAGGGGCAAGCAGTCAATCCTCAACATGTACCGTTGGTTTCATACTCACACCAACTAATTACTGTATTATGTTCTTACACTTAAATCTATATAGATTTCAGCAAAATTTTTTTTTTTTCTTTCTTTTTTTTTTTTTTTTTTATAAACTTGCCAACTAAAATTGTATTTATTTACTGGCAAGTGATTGGTAATTCTTTGTTAATGAAAGCATTAATTTCTACTATATATTTTTTAAATTAATATTTATATAATTATTACTGGTGTTTAAAATTTGTTTTAAATTATAAATGTCTTTTAATACCTTTACCACCTTAATACTCTGAAAATAGTAGTTGCAGTTTACAAGAATGTAAATCATTAAAACAATTTGCTGGTTTTCTTCATTGTTCAAAGGATATAATATCCTTAGTAGCAAAGCTGTTTTTAACTTTGCTACAAAATGACACAGCATATAGTTTTTTAGAGTATCATCTCCATAAAAGATGACACTCGTACAAAGATGTAACACACACGTATAAAGTCCGTACCTGTCCCAATCACAGATCCAACCAGATGGCATTGCATTCATTTCATACTGTCTCAAGAAATCTTGTACGTCTTGCAGCTTATTTAGAAAATAGGAAGATGACAAAGCATTTTCTTTCCAATCAGTAAACCTTGTCTGAAATATACAATATTTACTTTTAGAAGCAATAAGAGAAAACTTAAATTTATTTTTGTGATATATTTTTTAAATATATACATAAAATAAGATAGTTAATTAACATATATATATATATACGTGGTGCTGTTGCTTCTGATACAGATGAAGAAACTAAAGAATGTTGTGGTAATTGAGTATTTTTCCTTTCAGCAACATTTAAACCATTAGAAACTGAACTTTCTGAAATGGCTTCAGAATGCATTTGATCTCCAACTGTCTGCGGGTATTTCCATTGTGTNGTGGTGCTGTTGCTTCTGATACAGATGAAGAAACTAAAGAATGTTGTGGTAATTGAGTATTTTTCCTTTCAGCAACATTTAAACCATTAGAAACTGAACTTTCTGAAATGGCTTCAGAATGCATTTGATCTCCAACTGTCTGCGGGTATTCCCATTGTGTACGTCCAGTCCTTTCATTAACATAAAAGTACCTTTTGTGTTGCCTGTAGGAACGGGATAAGGCAGAGGAGAGGAATAAATAATAAAATAAATGTCAGAATTTTAATGTAAAACAAATTATACATACCTGAAATTAACTTTTAATTGTTAAATAAAATTTTAAGAAAACACAGATAATGAACATTATATATGAAATAATTTCTTACCTCTTTATTGGTATTTCTAAATTTACACTAAGTTTTAATTATAATTTATATGCTAATTTTTATTTTTGGCAAATATTTTGTTGAAGATTTATTGTTATATATTTCCTACAGTAGTGGTTCCCAACCTATTTTAATATAGAATTGATCTTACCTTTGTAAGATGTAGGCTGCTTTGTAGTTTAAAGATCCCTTTGTTGATTTTGCTGCTTAGGAAAGTATGATCCAATAAAATCGAATAAATAGTATCAAATGAGAGTTAATTTATTTATTTATAATTAAAAATGTTGAATTTATTCAGAACGGAAATATCATTTTAGTTCACTTTTTTGAATTATAATAAAAGGGATAAGAAAAATAATTAAAACTAGTGTAGGTTGGGAACCCCTAGCAAATAATATCTTAAATTGTAAATGTAAATATTCAATTAAAATACTATTTTTCTTTCTATCAATAATGTAATTTTTAATGATATTTAAACATAACTCTGTTATTTTAACATATTACACAATCATTCTTTAAAGAAATTTTGATGGTTAACAATATAAAAAGCAATATGATATACATATTGATAAAATGTATGAACTGTGACAAAAAAATCAATTATATGATAAAATAGATTTTATGTGAAAACTTTCTAATAAATTATGGTAATTAATCATCATTCGTTTCCTTAAAGTTACTTCTTTATTTTTAATTTGCAGATACAATATAAATAAAATTGTATTAATAACTAATAACTTAAATCTATAATTGACTGATTTATAAATTTACATATTATATATAAATTATTAACAAAATACATTAACAAAATATTTTCCTATGTTATAAAAAATTATTTTACTATCTCATTGATATTTAAACAGAAAATTGTTATTATTCAGTTTAATTATTATTTACAAAAAAGGAAGACTATTTTCAGTATTTCTGTATGTGACTTTTTTCTATGTAGAAATTTTACAGCAATCAAGTTGAACTTTCCAAAAAATTAATAATAATTAATATTTATTTTAACATTTAAAAAAATGACCAATTCTGTTATTATATTTATAAGAAACATTAATCTATAAAGAAAATCAAAAAAGCATAAAAATGAATTGAAATTTTATAATAAAAAAATTGAAAGGATTGGTTGCTTCTAACAATAAATTTTTTTTCTTCAAACTGCATAAATAAACGCATAAATGCAACGATTTTTGTTTTTTCTAGTTCTTCTATTTAAATATTTCTTACAAAACTAAATTTGACAAAATTCTCATTATTTAAAAATGCATTATTTATTTTTCAGAAAAATTAGTTGTGTTTATTATTTAGATTGAATTAGTTAGGGTAATAAATAGGTTGTAATAAATTGGAGAGCTTATCTTTATCATCTGATGTGATAAACCCTCCAATTTATTACAACCCTATTTATTAGGCAAACTAGTTCAATCTAAATTAAAGTTGTGGACTAGAAGCATTAATATTAATATTGTGTTTATTATAATAATCTTTTCATGGAGAACTTATGCATTTTCAGTGAGACTTTTAAATATTTACACTATTATAAAAATATATTCTTTAATTTAATACATGACAATTTTAATTATTTTATTTAAGAAACACTAATATCAAAATTAATTTATAACTATTGAATTTTACAGATATTGAATATATAATAAAAATGTTTAGTCCTTTATAATTAAAAAAAGCTATAATTAAATTTTAGACTTATAAGAAATTTTTAGATTACATTAGAGAGAAAAAATTTTTATTGTACATCTAATAGAATTAAATAAAATTACTTTTAACTTTTAATATTTAAATTTGATAATATACATATATTTTGTCCATGTTTTGTGCACATAAAACATTATTCTAAATTTTTTATTATAGCCTAACTATATTAAGTTTTATTATATTAATGATAAATAAGTCATTAAATGAGAAAATATCAAATTTTAGAATCCATAAATACACATTTAAACTCTACTTGTATTTAAGTTTTAAACCTCAAAAATACAAAAACTTGATTGCTTATTCAGTTTTATGAATTATCTTGATTAAAAAAATTTTAATATTGCATTTAAGAATTTAAGAACAAAAGTTTAAAAATAAAAAAAAACATAAAACAAACATATAAGATAAAGAGATATCTGTCCTACCTCAGGACTCCCTGCCAATGGATGTCTTCAACTTCTGCAGCAGGAGGGGCAAGCAGTCAATCCTCAACATGTACCGTTGGTTTCATACTCACACCAACTAATTACTGTATTATGTTCTTACACTTAAATCTATATAGATTTCAGCAAAATTTTTTGTTTTTCTTTCTTTTTTTTTTTTTTTTTTATAAACTTGCCAACTAAAATTGTATTTATTTACTGGCAAGTGATTGGTAATTCTTTGTTAATGAAAGCATTAATTTCTACTATATATTTTTTAAATTAATATTTATATAATTATTACTGGTGTTTAAAATTTGTTTTAAATTATAAATGTCTTTTAATACCTTTACCACCTTAATACTCTGAAAATAGTAGTTGCAGTTTACAAGAATGTAAATCATTAAAACAATTTGCTGGTTTTCTTCATTGTTCAAAGGATATAATATCCTTAGTAGCAAAGCTGTTTTTAACTTTGCTACAAAATGACACAGCATATAGTTTTTTAGAGTATCATCTCCATAAAAGATGACACTCGTACAAAGATGTAACACACACGTATAAAGTCCGTACCTGTCCCAATCACAGATCCAACCAGATGGCATTGCATTCATTTCATACTGTCTCAAGAAATCTTGTACGTCTTGCAGCTTATTTAGAAAATAGGAAGATGACAAAGCATTTTCTTTCCAATCAGTAAACCTTGTCTGAAATATACAATATTTACTTTTAGAAGCAATAAGAGAAAACTTAAATTTATTTTTGTGATATATTTTTTAAATATATACATAAAATAAGATAGTTAATTAACATATATATATATATACAGTGCATTTTTGTCATAGAATGCAATGGAACGGCATTCCACCACTTTTTTTTGATATATTTTAAAAGTTTTAAGAGAATTTTTGAAAATTTGATGTTTGGTCCGCATTGAATTGCTCTGTGGAGCATAGAAGATCGGCAACAAAATTATTAAGATGGTCCCTGGTCCTGCTCCTGCTTGTGTGCCAAACCATGTGTACGATGCATGTGTAGTGCAAACTTAGTTTGTGGTGACTGTGACATACTGCTCGGCTCGTGTTTGGTCATGTCATGATTTGATGGCAATGCAGGAATCGCAGTGCTAATTGTGACTGGTGATTGTCATTTTGACTGTTTTATATTTCACTAGTAGTCCAGGATGCTCCATAGTGGGTGTTCCACCACCTTTTTTTCCCAAAAAAGCACTGTATATATATATAAGTTAATTAACTCTTATTTTTT